ATAGCAGGGATTGTGGGGCTGGCGTGGGATTGGGCAGTGTTTCGTTCTGCTGTGCATGGGGTCGCTATGAGTCGGAAACGACTCGATGGCACTTAACAACAACAACAACAACACCACTTCTTCATTTCCAAGTTTTGTTTTCCAATCACCAGTAATTATCAATGCATCTTGATTGCATGTTTGGTCAATTTCAGGCTGCAGAAGTTGGTTAAAATCTTCAGTTTCTTCATCTTCGGCTTTAGTGTTTGGTGCATAAATTTGAATTATAGTAGCATTAACTGGTCTTCCTTGTAGGGTAGGGGTATGATCCTATCACTAACAATATTCTACTTCAGAATAGATCTTGATATGTTCTTTTGATGATGAAATGTGACACCATTCCTTTCCTGCTGGTTTTTGAAATATTAGTGGTATAGCTTCCAGCATAATATCAACATACATGCCATCACAGTACAACAAACTCACTTATGAGACACTACTTGAGAAATGAAATCATTCTGTATGACTTAACATATGTTATGAACATAAGAATTTAATCATATTTCAGTGATCCTCATTTAAAATACCTAAAATCTATTAAACTAAATCTAGAAATGTGGGTGAAAATTAGAAACAATTCAAAATTTCAGGCAGAGTAATACTGCCAGAATTGGCACCATAATAGTAATTTAATTAACATTTAATAATCTTTTTGAATATGTATATAATTTAAGTCTTGTTATCTGTTGAAAGAAGGCCATTCTTATTTATTTAATATTTCATAAAATATTGTGGAATTATTAAGGGGAAATATTAAGGTTGAAATGCTCTATAATGTTTCTTAAGCAGTTTAATCTTATCCTGTGTCCCAATAAATTACATAGTTTTGGAGAACTTATTAAGGGCATTTAAGTAAGCAAGAAGTAACCTAAAAAGATGTTGTGTTAGATGATACAAAAAAAAAAAAAGAAAAGATTTCATGGAGTTGATTCTTACTCATATCAATCCCATTTGTGTTAAAGCAGAACTGCTACACAGGGTTTTCAAGTCTGTAACCTTTTGGAAGTAGATCACAAAGTCCTTCTTCTGAGGCACCTCTGGGTAGATTTGAACCATTAATGTTTTACTTAATACCTGAGTGCTTAACCATTTGTACCACTATGGGACTTCTTATTAGATGATATACTTATGTTATTTAACTGCCCAGATACTATAAAACAGGATTCAAAGCAAAATGTTTAGTATTGATACATTACTATGTTCAAATATGGTTAAAAGGGATAATGAGCTTTAAAAAAAGTTATTCAAAACACTTATGTGACACAGAGCATTTAATTATTTTTTTTGTTCAGTATAAAATAACTTCTCAGTTGTGTCAGGCAGGTACTGTCATAAAGACAGGCCCAGGGACAGATCACTCTGTCAGTAGTAAGCTACATAAATCTTGTGTTGACTTTCCTGAATGGACTGCATAAGCAATAAAAAACACATCTCTGACTGCAGATATTTTACCTTTGTCAGAGGATCCCTTATATAAAAATATAATCCATCAATTCTTAATATTTTAAATATTATTGGTTTGGAAATTTTTGAGTCAATGTAATGAATAAGAAAATCAAACAGTGTGCTTTGTAGTATAAAGTAGGATATAGCTGGAAATTTTATAAAAACAACTTTCTTACATGATATTAATATCAATGCACTCCTGTTGTGTAAATGTAATTTAGTTCTAATCTTGGAGTATATTAACTAAAAGAAAAATCTGTAATAAAAATAAAAAAGGCTAAGCAAGTGACAAAATAAGTCACATATTAAACTAGTGAAAACAAATATATTAAACATCTTATGAGATGTAGTAAAAAATGATACAAGCATAAAAAAATTTTAAAAAGCCTTCTATATGAGAGCAAAAGGTCAACAATTACAGGCTGTCCCTAGATTATGAAAGTCCAACTTGAAGACAACATATACTTGCTTTTTAATGTTATGTAAATTTGCCTTAGTTTTGTAATGATTGAACCAACCTCCTACTCACAACAAATTCTTCAACACAATTACTTTCATTTGCAGTATATACAACTTTTAAAAGGAGCTCTGGTAGCACAGTGCCTAAGGCACTTGACTGCTCACCAGAAGGCTGGCAGTTCAAACCCACCAGCCACTCCTCGGAAGGCAGGTTGGGCAGTCCTACTTCCGTAGTGATACTGCCTCGGAAACCCAAGCTTTCAGCTTCTTCTTGCACTTTAGTTAAATAAGAACCACATGCACCTGTTCTGCTTTACCTACAAATTCTTAAAGAGACAATTAGAAATAGATCTCGTTTGTGATCCAGGGACTGCTTGTACTCTAAAGCAAAGATGAGAAGATAAGGGGGAAGGAAACTAGAACACTGGAAACTGGAACAACCAGACAGCAATTAAGAGACTATTGATAGATTGTGAAAAATGTAACTAAAGTCACTGAACAATTTGCAGAGAAATTGTGAAAGGTGAACCAAATCTCATGTGTACACTTTCAACAAAAACACAATATTATTTTTTAAAATATGATACTAGCATAAATATTTGAAATCAAGTGTAACTCCTGATTCTGGCATAGTAGTATAGAATTAAGTACATAATACTAATAACCTGTACAGTTTTAGAAATAATTTGAAAAGGAAAATAAAACAAAGGCTTTACTCTCACAAAATATATTAACTACATATTCCTATAAGAATTATATGCTTAAAAACTGTGTTTATTAGACAAGACTCTCTTGATTCACATATTCTTTATAACAAACATCCTTAACATATGTTTTTATGGCTCACAGTTAAATCCATACTCATCCTCCTTTTAAAATATTTTATGTGGTGAATGCAAGTATTATTAAATTCATACAAAATCTAACCTGTTCAAGATGGAAAAGGACATTTGCTATATCCAATACTCTTTCTACTGTCTTCTCTGGATCTGAAGTATCTTCAGTCCTATTTGGTAAGTCTTTGTAAAGAGCCATTTGCCATCTAATAGCAGGATCCTCTAACTACAGGGAAAAAGAAAAGGTCTATATAATTCAAAGTTACAATCATTAAGGGCAATAAAAAATTATACTGTACATACACCCCCAAAAGTGTTAAAACAATGAGCAGAAATCAACACAGACCATATCTTTAGACTCATGGAATATATATATATATA